CCGCTTGCTGCGGGCCGCCGGCCGCCCTGCCTCTCCCACCCCATTCTCAGACTAGGACAGACCCGGTTCCTGACATCACCTGCTACTGTGGCTCCAGAGCTACCCCCTCCCACACATGCACATTCTCCTCCTGCAGACTAGCCTGTCTGATGAACTGCTGCCAAGCTCATGGTGCCTAAGCTTGGCGGGCGGGGGGGGTGAGGGACTCCTGGCTGACTGGGACACAGAGCTGGTAGAGCCAGCCCCCTGCTGTGCCACCTCCATGTCTCAAGCATGCCCCTGCTAAGAGTGTCCCAGGCAGGCCATATGAGCCAAGGGGTGCCCAACCCACCATGATCTGCTGCTTGCTGTGGTGCCTCAAGCGCATCTGAGAACCTGGCGTGGGACCCTGAGCCTTGATGGTGCAGAGGGCAAGCCCGCCCTACCCCACAACTTCTGTCACCAACTGGAGGGCTACCTATGGCTGTGTTATGCATCCTTGCCCTCCACAGCCAAGGACATCGCCACCAGCATTGATGCATTCCTCAATGCAAGAATTCCATGCCTGCCTAGATGAGGGGGCACAGGCTGCTCAATAAAGTTTTGCACTGTCTTCTGCCTCCCTGCATGCTGTGAGGGGGAGACTCTGAGGGCCGGGGGAGTGTGGCTGGCCCAGGAGGGAAGGAGCGGGCAGGGGCAGGGGTGGCAGTGGTGGCAGGGGCTGGGCGGGTGCTCTCCCCAGTGGGGGGGCTTACCAGGTGGATGTGGCAGACATGCCTCGTGGCCTGAGTCAGTCCCCAGTGGCAGTGAGGATGCATGGCTCCTGGTGGTGTACTGGGGCACAGTGCCTGACTGCCCAGTCAGGGGTCCCTTTCAGGGAAGAGCTGGAGCTGCTGAGGCTGGTGATGCAGGTGGCCTGGCCTCCCAAATGGGGCTGTGCACCCGGAGCTAGCGGGGCAGGCACTGGCCCAGGCTCCCAGAGCTGCATGATGAGGTTGGGGAGGTGGGGGAGCGAAGCTCAGCAAGACAGGCTTCTGCCACCCTGAGGGGCCCTCCCCTGGTGTTGTGTTGCCATGGGTGCCGGGCCACAGCGGAGGCTTGAGCAGGCCACCTGTGCTGGAGTAGATGGCATGGCTCTGGCTAGGATCCCAGGGTATGAAGATGTTGTCCAACTTCCACATAACGGGCGTGGACCTTCAGCCAGCCCCCAACCAGCAGTTGCCGTTGGTGATGAACCAGTGTGCCCACAAAGCTTTGACCTTTATGCGGTACTGGCATGCCAACCAGTTGTGCCCCCACTCCTGCATGTGGCCTGCTGGGCCCTCATAGATGTACACGTTGGAGTGCCTGCTCCAAGCAAACAGGTTGAGGACCTCAGCCTTGCCCCACAGTGCCACGAGGTCCACGCTCTCCTCCTGGGACCAGTTGCAGCTGTGGGAGGCAGCATGTCCCTCTCTGGAGAAGATGCCAGCATGGCTCACTTGATGGCTCACTGGGCCTCCATGCAACAGTCTGGGTGCCACCAGGCCTGGGCAGGTGTTTGTAGTGCCTGTTGCAGGGGTACAGTGCAAGACAGGCAGGTGCATAGTGATGCTGTGCCAGGCACCAGCAGCATGGTCTGGGCAAGCTGCCGTGGCTGGCCTGGGGCCAGTTGGAGCAGGACCCATTGCCCAGAGGCTGGCTGCAGATGGCCCAGGGTTCTGCTGGGCCTGGCAGGTGCCTGCAGCACCCAGTGCAGTGTGACGGTATGGGCCTGGCAGCTGTGTGGTGATGCAGTGCCAGGGACCAGTTGCAGGGTGTGGACAGGCTGCTGTGGCTGGCCTGGGGCCTCTGCTGGGAGGTGCAGTGGCCAGAGGCTGGCTGCAGATGGCCCACGACCCTGGTGTACTTGCAGGCTTTTAAGGGCTGAGGGCTAGGGCAGGCAAAGAGCCACCCCACCCTAGCACTGGAGAAGCTCCCAGCCCTGTGGCCCTGGGGCTGCAGGTAGCCCCTGGTGGTGGGGATGACTGGGAGAAAATTTGCTCCTGATCAGTGTCTAGACATGTGTTACTGTGCAGTAACTACTCAGCAGTTAATTTGCTACTTGTATTTACAGGTAGCAAATTAACTCCTGAGTACAGCAATTTACTACCTAGTAAGCATCTGCACAGGTAGATGGTGACACTAATTGAGCAGCAATTTGCTGTACTGCTTAGTAAAACGTCTCATGGAGATGCGTCCAGTGAGAATTTGGGGAAGGCTGATACTTTCCTTTACAGTATTGACTAGCTCAGGTTGAAAATAAATCCCATGTTATCATACACCTATAAAAAAAGGTTCAAGTTCCAACCACAGAGTTAATTTATTTACTTTTATTTTATCTAAATTTGATCCTTGTGCCTCCTTTGAGGTTTCATTTGGAGCTATTCTTTACTGAAAGACAAAGATTTACATAAAGAATTAGCACCATTCACACACAGCCAACGTAAGGAAGAAATAGTTGAATGCAACAACTATCATTTTATCAAGAGATGTATTTGCTCATCATATGCCAAAATTCTTTAGACTCCTTTTCTTTAAAAAGTTTGTTTCAAGCAAACAGGTTTGGGCAGGACATTTTGTACAACCTTTGAATGGGAAACAGGAATTTGACATTCAGAAAAATAGTTTTCTTTGACCATGAAGTGAACCCCGCATTTGATTTCTCAGCTCTCCAAATAAAGCTATTATTGTTCTTTGTATTAAATACAGCCAGTATATTAAAAAAATATTAAAGCAATATTTCATATGGGGAATCCAAGTTTCAAACACTCAACTCTTCACTTGAGATCAGGAACTGAAAATTAGAGAAGAAAACACACAGTTACCTGCCAAACAGCATAAGATGCTGACTGACCCTAGCTCCCAGAGTTAGGAGTTGTTTGCTGTGAGAAGTGGCAGAAACCTGTCTGTTATTAAGTTTTTATTCTGCACGGGCTCGTTTGTAACTTCTGGATCATTAAGCATTCTCAAGTTCATGGTTATCACCCATTCGCCTTCCAAGCAGAACCTAGTAGTAGCAATGCATGTTGTCTCAAGTGTGCAAGGAAACATATCCACAGGTCAGGGTACACCTCAAAAGGATAATTTTCTCTCTCACATGAATCCTCTTTTGCTACATCCTTATACCGATCTTCAGGCAATGAATCTTTAGGAATCATCAAGCATCCTTTCTGCGCTTGGTTTCATATCTGGTTGCTGTTCTTGCTACTCAGGGCAGCTGGGGCTTGTCCTTGTTGTTGGGTAGCAGGTTGAGAGGACCACAACTCTCCTCTCTGGGCACAAAGCTTTAAACCTACTAGCCCAGGAGCAATGCTCCCTCTAAGGAGTAGTGGTCCGTGAGTGCACCGCCTTGGTCTGTGAGCGCGTCGCCTTGGTCTGGTGTGGGACACTTACCAAAGGGGGCTGAGGGCTGGGTGCCGGAGGCTGGGGCCTGGAGGCTGGGGCCTGGAGGCTGGAGCCAAGAGGCTGGGGGCCGGAGGCTGGAGCTGGGAGCTGGAGCCGAGAGGCTGGGGCCAGGGGCTGGAGGCTGGAGCTGGGGCTGGAGGCTGGAGCCGAGAGGCCGGGGGCCAGAGGCTGGGGGCTGGAAGCTGTGGCTGGGGGCTGGAGCCAGGGGCCAGAGCCGGGGGCTGGCATGGGCTCCGCTGGCTTCGGGGAAGTGCTCCGTTCCCCCGCATCAGGGCTGGGGAGTGGAGCACTTCCCTGGAGCCGGCAGAGCCCGTGCCAGCCCTCCGCTCCAGCCTCCATCCCTGCCTTGCCTCACCTCGGGGAGGAGCTGCTGCCTGCCCCAAGTGAGGCTCCGCTGGCTCCGGGACACTGCTCCACTCCCCGGCTCTGATGCCATGTGCCTCCTCACTCCCTGATGTGAAGCGGGGGAGCAGAGCACTTCCCCAGAGCCAGGCTCCTGCCCCCACCTCACCTAGGAGCTGACCTTCAGCTCCTCTCCTGGTGTGCGGCTTTGAAAAGGCTGTGCCTGGCCAGACTTTTAGTCGTGCATGGCTGCGCACACGTGCACCTTAGAGGGAACCTTGCCCAGGAGGAGGCTCCCTGTTTCTAATACCTTGGTGGGAGGCAAGTGTAGAGGAGCAGGAACTTCTGCCCTGCCCTTTCAGCCCTGTGGAAAGGATGCCTTCTACCCACTAGGGTTACCATACCCAGTCCCATGACTGGAGAGAAGGATTCCTCTCGCACTTCTTTAAGCATCTTCCTTATGTATGCAGTGTAAGGCTTTGTTTTGGGAGTGCTTGTTTTAAACATACACAGTGCTAGGGCAGGCGGATTGAAGATTTGAGCGGGTGTTCACCAATGATTCTCATCATCTTCACAGGATAGGACCAGCACTGAGTGCACACTGTGGTGCTGCGTTCCCTTGTGTAAACATTTGCTATTCAAGTTTAGCCTGACAAGGCCTTGCTGCTATCCCTGGGAAGACCACCACCATCTGCCAGTGTTATATAATTCACTTGCATTATGGCATCTCCTAGGCCATGGTAAGAATTAATAAACCTTTTGTTTCCTCAAGTGTCTGATCCAACCTGTCAATCATATTATGGCCTTTTAGTAATGCAGGAAAACCACACAATCAGGAAAAGACTAAGAAAACCGAGTGGCTTTCTCTTTGTTGTGTGCGCAATGACACTACAAATATAGCTGATGAAACATCTGACGTCTAATTTCCTGCTGCAGAAGGTATAAAAGGGAGAAGTAAGATTGAACACACAACTTTGTTTTTTCACCTTCAGGTAAGTAAAAGCCCACTGACTGTTAATTGTTTATACAGCATAAGCCATGCCCAAGTAGTTTCTCTTTAAGACTTTGTGTTTAGGAATCATTGGTATAAAATATTAAGAATATAAATGTTCATTGCTAAGAATCAAGGAAATATTACACTGCCAGAGAAGCCAGAGACTCATAAAAATTTCTCTTCCTTCTTCCCAATCAGATTTGCAATTAACTTGATATCAAATTACCAATTTTTGTGTTAATTGTAAACTTCTACTTTTAACAATTTTGTTTATTTTCCGATATAAAAGTATCTGGAAAAGGATAGCGTCAAGGTTGCAAGGTAAGGAAGTGCTGGACTCAAAGCGGGTGCGGACTGCTGGACGGAGAACTTATCTAGGATGACAGTGGAAAGTGACATCCTCTCACTGCCTCGGTTTCTGGACCTCTAAAAAGGAAATAATGATGCTCCAGTTACATCATAAAGTAGTTTAAGATTTCTGAATGAGGCATCCAGAGTAAGAGTGAGGTATTATTTATAAACTGGGCTTTAAATTGGTTGACCAAAGACTTAAGAGAAATACAATGCCTATCTTCTACTGTCATGTCAGGTCAGTCCCTTGGGTTCTGCCAACTGAAAGTATGCTTCTAGTGCAAAAGGGTGGTGGGAGGAAAAATGCATTAAAAACGGAGGCACTCAGGTACAATGGTAATGTGGGTCAAGTAAACATCTAAAATAGAGGTGGACAGATTGATGAGATTATAAACTGAACTATGGAGAAGAGATAGGAAGAATGGCACTAATATACTCATATTCTTAGTACATTTGTGCGTGTATGCTACAACCAGTCATTTATCCTTCAAAAGTTTGAGGCATTCTAGAAGCCTGTTAATGAGGATATTTGCCAATTTAAAATCATAATGTGGCTCCTCTTCCCTTTTTTCACATGAGTAGAACCCAATTCAAGACCAAGTGCTATCAGTGGGAAATATCCCATTCCATTTCAGAGGCTCTGGGTCAACTCCATACACAGAGCAGGTCATAATTTTCTACGAAAAATAATCTTTTTTTTTTTTTTGGTGAAAAACACAAATTTGGTGACTCAAATATTTTGTGAACTCATGTTAAACTTGCCAAATTGTTAGTTTTCAGGGGAGGAGGAGGGACATTGAAAAGTCTGCTATTTGCCCAGCTCTATCTTTATTGCACTGTTCATTGGGGGATCTAAACATGTAAGTAGAAATAGAATTTGCTAAAACTGATAACTCTGAGATAAAATTAACTCTGTAGATGTAGGAAAAAAGTGTTAAAACAATTAGCTGGTATTTTAAATTAATCAACATCAATTATGTTCACAAACTTCTTGTGCTGATTTCCTCAATTGCTCACAGAAATAAAAAATTAAAGTTCCTAAAAAAAATTCTAAACCTTAATCCTCTTCTCTTTAAATTAATCTCAAATCTTCCATTTACTTCAATTGGAGCAGGATTGGGCCATTGTACAGAACGGCCATATTTTGGGACTTTTTGAGAACTTGTACCTCTCATAGCCTTCGGGGGCTGGAGAGTCTCAGAAGTTTTATAGCTGATTACTTTAATATAGATCCCAGGACAGGCAGGCCAGCGCGCAAGCCAGGTTGCAAAGTGAAGTTAAATGAATTGAAGATTTAACCTGTAATATTAACATCTCTTTATTTTCCACCATAGATAAAACTAAACATGAAGGATCTTTTTTATCTCAGCCTGCTGTTAGCTGGCCTTCAGTGTTACATGTCTTCAGAAACAACACTATGTAAGTAAAACCAGTTCAAGACTATTTAGCATACATGCTTTGATCTTTTGTTCATACTTGACCAATCCTTTCACTTTCTGCACTTATTAGTCAAGAGTATATATACCACTTTTTCCTTCTGATTCATGCTTATCCCACATCCTAAGGTCCATTAAAAAGTCTCCCTCTTAGTGAAGCAAAATGGAGTTTTGCCATTAGCTTCAATGGGAGTAGAATTACAGTGGTGCAAACTTGAAGTGTCTACAGAAATGTCCGTAGGACACCTGGAAGTTCAGTTTGATTTTAAATAAACCGAGGGCCCGATCCTTAGAGAAGAACAGTCTTTAGCTCTCATTTATATCAGTGAGCATTTGAGTACTCAGAACCCTACAGGATTGGGCCACAGGACCCCAACATTTTGGGTACTCTTTGTTGTAGGTGTCTTAGTTTCTAGGCTATTCTTTTTATCATGGCTTGAAGACTGCTTTCCAAACATGACCCCATATGGTCTCATCTTATCACCACTGAAGTTAGTGGAAAGATCTTTACTGACTTCACTTCTCTTCCATTGCAGTTTAAACCAGTCCCTTGTGGACACAGTAAATACCTCACCAGCATCCTCTTTTTTGGGGGATTTGAATTCACCCCTCAGGCCTCTCTTCTCTAGACTCAATAATCCCAGGTCTTCCTTACCTGGCATGTTGTCTATGCAAATGGAAATCTGCACTCACAAACAATATACTGTTTGAACAAAGAGCCATTTACACAAGGAAAAGCAAGGTTTCCCAGGTGCCACGCTTGAAAACCATTCCACTTTAGGAGATAGATTCAGATGTGATATAAGCACCTGCAATACCTACTACAACCAAGGATAGCTGCACCCTAAATACTGAATGAATTTGGCTTATCTTTACAGACAGTTTTATTGACACACCTATTGCACATCTGATTATCACTTGCACGTTTCTTTGATGAATCACTGCTCCCAATAGGGACACAGAACTTGCACCAATTTCCTTGGACAGTTTGTTTAAATGAAAAAAGCTTGTGAAGCTCACAGATAAGTCAGTTCTCTGTATTTGTGCTTAAACAGCTTCAGCTCGCTGCTCAGACTGTCATAGCAATGCCACCTGTGAGGAGAACGATGGCCTTCGAAAATGCGTGTGCAAAGATGGGTTCGCTGGCAATGGCTTCAATTGTTCTGATGTGGATGAATGTGCCTTTCCTGGTTCGAACGTGTGTCCAGCAGGCGCCTGTGTGAATACCTTGGGCTCATACATCTGCCAGTGCCCCAGTGGGTTCCTGCTTTCCTCAGAGGGTGGCTGTAGAGATATTGATGAATGCTCTACCCCCAACTTAAACCGCTGCCATTCATTAGCAATGTGCACTAACCACAATGGTAGCTACTCCTGCTCTTGTCCTCAGGGGTTTGCTGGAGATGGCTATTCCTGCAGTGCAAAGAACTGCACTCTCATATCCTGTGACTTTGGAGCTGACTGCTTCAAAAATGATGCATCCCGCATCTGTGCTGACCCTTGTTCAAATTACAATGTCCTTGACAATTACTGGCGCAGCACCTCCTATGGATCTGGAAACAACTGTGATAGTAATAAAGTAGGCTGGTATCGATTTATAGGCAGGGGCGGGGAGCGCATGCCAGAAGCCTGCGTACCAACACACAGGTGCAACACTGATGCACCACTGTGGTTAGATGGATCACACCCTTCCAGCAATGCTGGGATAGTCACTCGTACTGCTTGTGCCCACTGGGAAAATAGTTGCTGCTACTGGTCAACTGCCATACAGATAAAGGCTTGCCCTGGTGGATATTTTGTATATAAATTTAATGGAACACCAGCCTGTTCTTTGACGTACTGCACAGGTGAGTCACTTGGAACTGTTTGGGGTTTAATCTTTTCCTTCTACAAATAAAAGAACGGTACACTTGT